TTTTTTTAATCATATTTATGCAGCTAAAAGTTAGTTTTGTTTAAAGTGGAGCTAATGTGCTAAAAAGATCACGTTAAGGACAAACATACGACATGTATAAAATAATAAAAAATGCCTGGTGCTACATTTGAAAAATAAAAAGACTAATGGAACTAAAATGTCTGCAATGGACTGGCAACCTGTCCAGGGTGTACTCCGCTTCTTGCCCGAAATGTCTTCCAGGCAATAGGAACCAGCAACCCTCTCAAGGAAAGGGATGAACAGTTAAATTATGATGTATTTACATTTAAATATTATGATATATTTAATCCTCTGGCTTTATTCACAAATACTGCTTTTTAAAAATCACCTTCATTTTTAAAGTGATATCTTATTTAAGAGAGTGCTTAAACATTGCAATATAACAAAAGCCCAATCTCTATTCCAAAATGTTAATATCTTAATTTAAAATTTGACTTGCATTGGTGACATTACGTTTTACTTTCCTCACAGTTGGATTGTGACTATTCTTTTTTATTTCTGTTCAGTTTATCATATCAAGTTTTTTATTACTAATGTGTGCCTTGTCATTTTGTTTGACTTTTCTATAAATACTGGACAAAACAACAAAACATTGCCATAAATCCACCTTTTAACTCAAAAAGTCACGTGGAACAATGGTAATGCACGTCTCCGAAGTCCATCAAATTGAGGGCTTTGCATAAGGAAGGAAATAGAACCCAAAATAGGTGGGGCGAAGAGCGGATGTGGACAATGTGGCACACACTACACACTCAAACTCTTCAACATGATCTTGCATGTGAAATACACAAGGCGGAGGCTGAGAGTGCGAGTATTTGGATAGGGCCATACTGGCATCTGTCAAGGGCTGCTGCGGCTCTTCCGGTGACAGCTGCCTTAGGTGCCACGGTACTACTGGCACCTGGCTACTGGCACGGCAGGCCACTGGCTGCCTGTAGCTTAATAACGGTAACTTTATTAATTATTTTTACAGCAGCTTCTGTCAGATTGAATATAAATTAACTTATTAAAAAAAAATAAAAAAAAAACACCGGTGGATCTGGCAAAGGGACATGGGGAAGATGTTCTTTTGCGTCTCCTCTTACGTAATTGTGTTCCATCACAATAAGCACATACGCCCTGGTCTATTTTGGATACAGTCACAAATGTCATTTTAAAATTTCTAATATATACACATTTAAAAAGCTGTAATATTTACGGTCATAGAAAGGTCATGCAGTTCATCGACCATGACACTTTAATACAGACATTGTGGTGTAAGGCTGGGCTGGATGAAGACAAGGTGTTCAGCTAAGAAGAATATATGGAGGTCTAAGTTTCTTGTCGTCATAGAAATCATGCTTACAATATTTGCAAGTTTTGTCAGCAACAATTTATCTTGAGTTTGTGCTGTGCCCTGATAACATGTCTGCTCTAACAGTGGGCCCTGGTAGCACTGGGAGAGGGAGTGAACATTAACATGGTGGATTTCTGACAGTGAGAATTAGAAAAGCTTTTATGATTCTCTTCTTAAAGACAAATATTAGAGGCAATTATGTTGACTAGAAAGCGCCAATTTTTTATTTATTTGTTTATTTAAAAAGGTTAGATCAGTATTGTGTTGTTTTTGCAGTATGACTACCAGATTTCTTGATTTAGTTAGGTATTAAATTGTACTGGTATTGTGTGTTAAGCTGAGTCTTAACATGAACTGTGGAGAAAATGAACAGAAAACTGAGTTCATCAGACTGCGACAGGCATTGTATCAGAAGAGCAGCAATAAAGATGCTTGATGGAGGAAAGCATGAGAACGTAACATGTCCTGTGAATAATAACATTTCTGTAGATCATCCTATTTCACACTTCTGAAGGGTTGCTGTCTCTTCAAAACAAGCTGACCTGGAAGAATGCTAGACATAGCACAGGAGCCGCAGTTTGCAGGCTTCTACGAATCTCAGCCTATTCTAGAGAATATATAACCAGTGTGGAATAATCCAATTTAACTGCCTGTAGGTATATTACGGATCAGATATACACCGGTTCCAAATGAGCTCAGCGGAGTTAGCTTACCTTTCCTCGCAGTCCTTATGCTTCACATGAACCTGTAAGACTTTGTTGAACAGTTCCTCCATGATGATGATGTTCAAACGAGAAATCTACTGAAGAGGCCGAGTACAAAAGACTGCTTGTTGCCAAGAGCTTTGCCGCCTTCAGCCGCCAACTCTTCTTCCCAGTCCTTGTTTTCTTGAGGGATGCCGATGTTGACTTACCGTGTATACCGCCACCTCCCGTACCGGAGTGAGTAGGACAGAGATTGAAAAATTTATTCTAGAATACGAGCCCGTTCTGACACGAAATGTCATTTCCTTCCCCACATTCTGAAGCTAGGACTTCATTTTCTAAATTACAAAATTTGTCTTTTGTTGTAACCTAATATTTTGAATAATACATAATAAGATGCCCAACATGCTCACAATCACAAAGTAATGTGACAGGGCGGTTTTCTGGACTGTCATAAACTTTATTTAACTTTATATGTTTCAATCTTAATCTGGATAGCACTAACTGCTTTCCACCCCCACTAGCACAAATGGAAATATATTTATGTATACTCCGATAACAAATTTAGAAGTGATTTCACAAAAATTTGATCGAATACCCTTTCTAGCACATCAAAGCAAATGTACCTCTTCTCTTCAGCTGAGTGTCTCCTATTAATAACAGTACTGTGTTATGTGAAATTATTTTATTGGCCAATAGACAGACTCAATATATAGTTTACTTTGTGATTTTTTACATTTCTTTGGATGATTTTGGGATGATGGTCCTACCAAAAACATCTATAATCAATTGCTGATTATATTAAGGTCTGCATTTGTACCCAAATTATATCGTGCTGCAATTTTCATTAAATTACTCATATATTTTTAACTCTGTTTAATGTTTTTCTTCATGTATTACTCAAGATTTATGAAGTTTATGGTGAACGTAATAAGCTATTTGACACAGAAGGGAAAACTGAAAAAAAAATAAAAGTATAACTCAGCCCCAGTCTGAGGGAAACTGACACTCATCTACAGTTTATTCCATTTCCTAATAGCTGGACCAACAGTTGTTGCTTCCTCATGAAGCTGCCTGTCTGTTGTTCTGTAACCATACAATTAAAATTACAGAACTCCCCATTCTAAGAATGAAAATGTAATATATGTTAAGCAGTGTGTCATGCTTAAATATAATAATTAACAGTATTGAGTCACTCACACTAATGACATTTTCTGGGATTTAATATGTCACCTTTTTAGAGATTGTTTGACATGTTTTTCTACATGCCCTCATGGAAAAAATAGTATATTTAAGTATATTTTAAATCTACTGTATTTTTCTGAAGTACATTTTTAGTATGGTACTCTCTATGAATGAATGCTACACGGTTAGATCCATGGTTTGTGTCACAAATAAACCATTTCTAGGGGCCCCTGAATGGCCCCATCAGAAGCTACTGAGTTTTCTTTGCCTTGATAGCAGTCTTATAATTCTAGATCTCAGAGGTGCTAACATCAAAAAGTTCTATGGATGTTCTATAAATCAGTCTGCAGCCAAGGGGTTAAATAAATATTATTAGGGCTTAATTAGTAAAATGGCAGCAAATTTGCTTATTTCATCACTTCATAATCAGCGACCTTCTTTGCTCTGGTCTGTTTAACAGCTACAGTCTCAGATCAACTCAGCCTTCCAGGACTGTCAGCAGCAGAAACAGCAACTTTATACCGTTGGGGAAAATATATTACATTTGCTTTGCATTTCCTTGCATGATGACAATTCTGGATTAATACGGGTTGTTGCTATGTTGTTGTATGATGTTTTAATATCTTGTTCAATGAGCCCTTTTTTAACTTTGAGCCCCCGCCCCTCTAAAAGTCTCTGCATGGCCCTGCCACGGATGCTTTGATTCATTTAATTGTGGCATGTTTGGCTTTATGCTGCGGTTCTAATTATTGCTCCAGTATTTTCTCTTATGTTTATTGTGTGAACTCTAAAAGCACTAGGCCAAATCTTCCTTTAACACTTGAGGTTCTGCAGTAACTTCCATTTACAGTCGTTCACCCCCAGCCCAGATCCCGTCAGCAGCGGGATCTGGGCTGGGGGTGCACTAGGGGCATCTGGAAGTGAATTTAAAGAGAAGCAGAGCAAACAGTCACCAGGTGGTACCAGGTGGTACCAGGTGACCAGGGCTTTGAGGACCTCTGTGTTTAGGGGCGAGGCAGGGTTTTCCCGCTACTGCGAGGACAATTATAAAAATATAAATAGAAACAGTTTTTCTAACGTCAACATCAGACCTAAGTTTTTATTCAAAAAACCAGTGTATGAAAAAGATTTTTTCCCATGGTTTGATCGTAAGAGGCGCAGATCTGCCCCCTCCTCCTCACCATGGACCCGGAGTCTGAACAACATGGAGACAGAAACTGAGTCATTATTAGACTGAGGGCCCCAGACTAGTTTATTTTGATAATTATATTTAGCTAAATATTATTGCTTTGTGGCACAAGATTGTGATGCACACATTGAATATAATTATTATTATTATTATTTTTATCATAAAGGGCACTAGGGGCATCAAAGGTAAAGTGGGAAGGGGATCAAGCCCCCTCTGCACGTGCCTGTTATCAAGTGGGTATACTGCTTAAGATTGCAACTGTTTTTAATACCTGGAGAAAACAGTAGAGCTGGGGGACGGTATTGCTCGAAAATAAATTAATAAGGAATCCAATTGGTAGACCTCTATGGAAACTGTAACCTGATATCCCATAATGTAGAAATAAAGGCAGTGGTTTAGTTTTTCTTCTTTCGTTCTTTTTCGACTAAACTACTTCCAAATCTGTCCCAGAGCAACCCCATGGGGTGTCACTGCATCAGAGCTGCTCTTTACAAACAAATAAATCTACTGAACAAAGAATTAAACACAAGGAAAACTTGAGCGCCCACACACACACACACACACACACACACACATACTGATAAAAACCAGAGTACACACACCTACACACAGTTCTTGGTATCAGTATAGTTTGTTTATTAATGGTATATTTTGCATAGGAAAACATACTCAGTTCCAGTAACGAATTCACTAAAATTTGCTGATAGGAATGGTAAATATAGAAATATTAAAGACACATCATCAAATGTGTTGTTTCCCCCAAAGCAGATGAATAACAATGAAAGATGCACATGCACAGAAACCTTAAACCATAGACATTCAAACATGAACAGAAATTTTAACATACTGTCCAAAAATGTTTAGTCAATGTTAAAAAGACGGATATTTGATTCAACATGCAAACACAATATTAATAATAATAATGCTGTCAAAGGTGTTTTTAAAACTGCTCTGGTCTAAAGCAGTAGCCCTTTCCATAGTGAACATCCAGTTCAAGGCTGACCTCAGCAGTCCAGCTCTTCCTAATTCAAATATAAATGTGTAATATTGTTTTGACTTCTTGTTACACACACTGCAATGGGACAGTTAATGACAGTAACCCTGGGTTACATCAGGCTTGTTACATAACAAGGTTTCGATACAAAGTGTTTTTAGAAAACTAGAAGGAACAGCAACCAGCTCTGAGAAACCCACACATAAAAGTAAAAACTTTGACCCTTTGTTTTGTTTATTTCTTCTTCCTTCATGTATGAAAAGCTGTTGTGAAAGGGCATGGCTGAACAATCATGCAATTCCATGTGAAGTCTTTGCATGCCTACACTCTGAAAAAAGGATTTTTTAAAATATATTCATCGGGAGATAAGCAAAGCAGTCTGTTGTACATCAGAGCAATTCTGTTGGGAAAAATCCAAAATTGTGATCTTTCACAACAAAGTGTCTGATTCTTTACAAAGCGTCTACAGCAAGCAGAGTAAAGAGCAGAGCAGCTATGAGCCAGCAGACTAGGATTCTGATTCCAGGAAAACTTGCAGCCTTGACAGCTCAATCTGGACATCTGCTGCAGATCAGGGTACAAGTAGGATATACCTTAAATCAAATTAGAAACATGGGACTATATGAATCTGTGGCTGCAGGGTTTCTTAAGCATGGAACAAAATGGGCATTCATTTAAGAGTCTGAACTAAAGCAGAGGTCCAGAAAACAGCCACGTTGGGATGCAAGTTGCTGGAACAGAACAAGAATTCTCCCGACAGAGGTTTGACATTGTTGTCTGCAAACAGTAAATTCCCTACATGACCCCATCAAGGAAAGAAGTTTTGTTCATTTGCACATTTTCTCACATGAAGTGTAACACCTGACTTTTTCTCATCCTGAAAGAGTGAAATATTTCAGTCAATATATAAAAATTTGACACACTGTAAATGCATATTAATTTAACACTTTTGGATGAAAGTCTGAAGTCATCATTCTGTACCATTGCTTTCTTCTTACGCAATGCTTTCTTCATCAGTGCTTCACCTAAAATGGTCTGTGTCTAAATAGCTTTTTGGTAAATAAAATTTCTTCTCAGGATAAAGACAGCAGTGAGCCAGGTTTCCATGCAGCAGCGATCAGAGCTCACTGCAACTTACAAACTGGAAGTGATCAGCTTCAGCTGTCTGAGTCGCAAAGAAGGCAGGACTCACAGCTGCAGCAACAGCTTTTAAATAAAATGGTGATGACGTGACCCCCACATCCCCATTACACACACACACACACACACACGCACACACACCTACACACACACACACGTGGGTGTAGCTAACAGTCTTTGTCTGTCATCAGGATGTTCAGACTCATTCTGACTGCTGTTTATTGAGAAGTGTGTTTTCACCAGCTGTTTAGTGATGTGGGCCTCTGAGCACGTGTTTCGTGACCTGCTCAGGCTCAACAGAAGCTGAAAACCCTCAAGGTTCCTGCAGCACTGACTTTAAGATAGAAGCACATCCTCTTAATGAAATATTGAGTCTTTACTCTAAATATGACCCTTTTCATATTGTTCAGAAAAAGGCATTACATGGATTGGTAAAAGGAAACAGCCATGAATATTCATTACAAGAAGAAGCTGCCTTGATTTGTTACCTTCTTTCATCCTATGAAGTTTTTCCTTGGACATCATCCGGCTCAGTCTCTTTGGGTTGTTTTATGGCTTGTCACCTTCAGACCTGCACTGGGTTGCATACTGTCATGAACTGAGGTGGAAGACAGAAATGACTGTATCCATGCTGTAATGAATCTCATAGGCACTGCATGTTGAGATTATTTTTGGAAATTTTTTGATTTGCTGTTGACTTGATGTGTTTGCATGAAAATAATTATTTTTCTGTAGCAAAGGATTTATACTACAGTTCTTCAAACCTGTCTGATTATTTTGAATCACTAATAAAAATGAAAATAACATTTTGTGCCCTTTAGAATATTATGCCTTATTTTCAATCTGTTTAGTGTCAATATTGTTATTTTACTAACAATTCTAGCCTGAGATTTTGACCATGGATTAGCTAGACAATAGCCCAACAACTACAGTTTTCTATGACTGAAAAAGCTAAAAAAAAATTTGATCCCTGTCCAAAGCCTGAGTAAATGAACATTTCATACATTTCCATCAGCACATGTTTGAAATGTTCATGTTCCATCAAGTCAACAAACAGAACTAGGTGGATTTACAGCCACAATGGCTCTGACTTCACTCTCTTCGTGCCTTTATTCTGCTCTTCCAGAAGACTCTATGTTTAACACAGAACATGCACTGACATCCTTTTTCCTTTAACCACTGGAAGATCTCGTTGCCCCCACCTGTGACTTTTCTTTCCCTCCAGCAGTCTCTCATCCTGGACCTGAACTGCAGAACTTAATCTGTAGGATGACTCACAGAGCTTGTTGGTGTGTTGAGTTCTAGCACTAAACTGTCATGAATCAGATCAAACCTCAAGTTAAATCTCCTGGTAAAAAACTGTTTATCATTTACAATTTTAACATCATCTGTTAGCTAAGTCTTGGGAGGAGCAACATTTAATCAAACCTTACCTAATTGTGTCATATGAATGATTGATAATCTCTACTAATGTTGCTGTAGATGGTCAGAACCAAACTATGTCTCTAACCCACCTCTGCCTCCTTCTCATCTCTCATAAATGTATCCTCTACTTCTGTCACTTCCCACTGTGGGCTGAAACACACACACACACACACACACACACACACACACACACACACACACACACACACACACACACACACACACACATACCTCAACATACATGAACACAAGATACTTAAACATTCAATGGAAATTATTTTTACAACTTTTCCCAATTCTGTAAATGTTTCATACATTCTGATATGTTCAGAGCCAAGAAGCCACACAGAGAGGATAATAAAGTTATTTCAAAATAAACTTGAAAGAATAGTAGCTCAACATGCCCATAGATATTCTCAGTCATCTGGGTCATGTGTAGTATAACAAACTGAAATTGAAGGGAGCCAAGCTTTCACTCAGTTTTCTCTGAAGACATTTCAACACCTATCCTTGTCCAGGAGTTCACACAGCAGGCCAATGCAACCCAATAAATTTTTTTGCCAAATGCAATCTATATCTGACTTTTTCACAGCAGTCTGAACAGAGCAATTCCAATGTCTTTCACCAAAAAAATTTAAAAAAATCTGATCTGTACCACTTCCATAAGTGGGACTAAATTGTATTTGATAACTTTCAAAGTGAGCTATTGGCATAACATGACTGACAGCTCACTAAGGCTATTTCAAAGTGAATGGTCATGTCATTTTATGCAATTTTTACATCAACAAAAGATATGCATCATAATTCTGCACAAGAAGAAGCCAGACATGGTAAATTCAGATGTAAACAACAGTTGAAAATTGTAATCATGAAATGCTGAAAGCAGTCTGAGTCAGTAAAGCATCACCTCTCAATCCCACCACTCCTGGTCTGACTCCACATCCAAACAAACTTCTCTCTAGAAGCTCCAGTATGTGCTCCGCTACAGGCTTTAGTTGTTAGCTGGGCTTTCTTTTCATCAGCTTCCTTCATCTGGTGACGATCTGGTGACCTTGCTGCTGGCTCTCAGCAACTTTAAAATTCATCCATATGCAGCAGCGGCTGTTGTTACTGCCATAAACATTCTTCTTTTGCACATGGGAATTGCTTTGGGGCTTATACACTCAGAAGTCTGATTGCGTTTGCATTTAATTAGTAATAGTAACATCCACACAGAAAACCATTGGACATCCATACCTGCTGTCTGAATGTAGCCTTTGTCAATTCTGGAGGTTTGCAATTGAGCTTCATAGGAAAACCTGAGTGAAAGTCCGGTTATCTTTTGATTTCAGCCTGCTGAGGTAAGCAGCTCAATATCTAATGCTGTTAAATCAGGTGTGTCAAACTCATTTTCGTTTTGGGCCAAATCAAGACCATGAAGGCTCTTAAAGGGCCGGTTGTGCCAGAATGTGTTGATAAAACCTGTTCACAAACTGTTAATATGTCAATGAATTCTTAAAATTACATAATATTATTGAAGAGCTTTTCAGTCCCTTCAGGAATAAATGCGACTATTTACCCACTGTATAAATCATGGATTATAATCATACATCAACTAAATTCTCAAGAAACTGGAGGGATTGATTGACACAAATTGGCAGTAAACAGATAAGAACTGCATTGATATAATTGATAATATAATATTTTATCACACTTAGTGTTTAGTCTAGTCTGTGGAGGGCCACATAAAAAGCTATGACGGGCCGGATTTGGCCCCCGGGCCTTGAGTTTGACACATGTGTGTTAAATCATTTTCAGACTACAGCTGGCATCACACGGTTTTGTAGAAAGCAAGATGAGAGACTTTAAATCAGTGCAGATTGTGTCTGTATAACTTAGCATACTTGTATTGTATAAGGGTATTATCAGATTATTGCATAGTGTTTACATACATTTTAGCGGCACCTACATGTGAGCGATATTGTGTTCTAGATTGCAGTGCTCACTCTACGCTGATTCTAGCCATTAACTAGTGGATACAGTTTTAACTGGAAATCCTATAATCTACACTACGGCATCAGATATACAGAGAGGCCATGCTGGAAAGCCATTTCCTTCACACAGGATAATTCATTCACTCCTGATACAAATATGCACCAGTGTGATAAGAAATGAACCTAATTTCACATACAGTGCACACGTGACCATGACTTGGTCACATGGTTGGAAGTTCATTCCACTGATAGAGGTGTTCCATGGTCTAACACAATATGACTCAATTATGACGAATCAGTGCTGAAGACTCAGAGAGCTGCTTATGAATCTGAAGGAGCCAAAAAGTAGCAGACTCTGTCAGGAGCAATCTTTCTTAGAGAAACATACAGAAACTTTGAAATCAGATTATTTTTCATACAATCACTTCAATCACCAAATCATCCCAGCTCTGAGAATACAACTTAAATGTGGAAAATCTACATCTGCAACCCTGCAGAATGACAAGAAACTTCCTCGTGCACCTTTAAAAGTGCTGCCTGCTGCATCTTAGCTTTCCTCAATGTTTTACTGCTTCCTAGGAAAGGCACACCATGTGTTTTATGAACTATCGTGCAAAAAAGAAGTGGTGTAGTAAAAACAGAAAGACACAGAGAGGCCCTCCAATCAGCTGCTCCAGAGTACTGCAAGGTAAAACAGGATAAAAGATGGGATTTATTAGGCAAGGCCATGCATTCCTTTGGTCAGCGCAGCACCATGCAGAACAGGCAAGATCCCCTTAAAGGGAAAGGAAGTGACAAATGTGTGGCTTCCTTTTGAGCTTGAAGTCGGTAGGAAGTCCAAACATGTGCATGGAGAGAAAAATCATTGCGAGACTAAATGTTATGGATTTTCTTTACATGTAGCACCTAGCAACTACGAGGCTTTGACATGCAAGAGAAAGTGGTAGACAAACACAAACAGGGAAGCCACTGTGTGCATCTGCACACAGTGGCTTCCAACACTTGATGGCTATATTTTGGTAAAAGTACAACTCAGCAGGAGTCTTGTTAAAGCTTGAGAGTCAATAGAAAAAAAATTGTACATTATAACAGCTGCAATTTTATCACAACTTCATCATGCATGATGGCCAATTAAAATATATATTAAAAAAAACATCAAACACAGATCTGGATGACGTTTTGTTATGTTCTCAACATGAATAAAGTACAAGCAATATTTAATAAGATTTAAAGTCAGATCAAGTCACTCCTTCACCATCCTGACTTGCTTCTGTTTTCTGCCTTTATACCTCGCAACACGTCAGGATTTCTCCTCGTAGGTCAATATTTTGAAAATCCGAAAGAAAGAAAAAAAATAACAGAAATAATATCAAATTTGCCATATCATTTACTGTATAATATTTTTGTATGGCCTGTTTGTTGATTGTGGTTCTGGACCCCAACTGGGCCACACTTCAGAAATATGACAGAATCTGAACCCTGATCGAACCAGCCAGATATAACAGTGAGACAGCCACATTTGTATGTTTTCCTTATTGAAACAGAAATAATACATTCTAGATTTTCTGTGCAAAATCTTTTCTTGAAGAAAATTTAATTCTGAATCTTCACTCTTTCTTTGACAAACCTTGCTTATTTAAGATTAACGGCTGCACCACACTCTGCCTTTGACAAAAAGTTACTGGATGTTTATGGATTTATTTCCTTTGAGATTTAAAGCACCAAAACATGGTTTATAGTGGATGAATGGTTTGTATTTTTCTATTTTAAGACTTTAACTGGACTGCATGTGCTCTGAAAGGCCTTGGTTGTCTGTTCTGTATTAAATATGCACCATATGATTGGTACCATCCTTCAGTGGGGGTTGCAAATTCATTACGATGGCTGCAAATGGCTGACAGCACACACTTTGGACACAGACTAAGAGTGTATAACAGAATGAAGGAGGCCCACCAGTCATTCCTCGTGATCATTAAACATCCAGAACTCAAACCACTTGAGGAGTGGAGTTTGACAATCTTCAGAAAGAAGATTATTTGAAATTATGAGCTGTCAAAGCAAGTACAAAATAACTTTTATCATTAAAACATGCAAGGTTTGGACAAAAAGCACGAGTAAGCAGCTCGTACTGAAAGTGATGGGATGAAATGAGCTGATAAACAACAGCTCCAATCAGGTAAAGTGCACTATTATAAAATTTTGTTTGTTTGTCAGTGTTAAAGGTGGGAAATAAAACTGCTGGAGTATAGCACAGCAAAGTGAACTACAGACTGAGGGTCACAGTCTCTGTGCTTTGCCAGATGTTCAGACCCTTTATGATCCAGTGTTGCTATGGGGCCCAGTCTTGTGTATTACTGGTTTCCACCAGCTGTCTGACTTCTGCCCAGGACAAGACAGATTACATCATTACACATTCTATATCATACATGGAGGCTTTTACGAACAGAAACATTTAGTGGGCTTTTTAGTTCTTCTTGAACCCACTACCCTCCAATGGGCACATTTTAGTAAACTCTTAATTTTACAACTCTTTGTTTGCTCAAATGTGTAATCGTATCAAATAACTTATATGTGTTCCAATGAGGCTCATTTGTCAGATCAAAAGTAACTTTTGAAAATAATCTTTAAGCATTAAAGGTAAAGTATTAAACATACTTTTAAATATAAGGCAACATTTCAGGATTAAAATGTTTATTTATTTTAATTGTCATATTTCCATCAAATGTAAGTGGATAATTATCATTATTAATTGAAATAAGGGCTTTCAAACATCCGTCTGTGTTATTAATCTATACAATGTGTTTCACTTACAGATAAAGTTTGTGAAATAAATGGACTTTTCGATAATATAAACACGTATTTCTTTGTTAACTTTTGTTTAGTGTTTTAATCTCCATAGCAACAAATGCAAGAGTGATGAGCAGTTATGTATTAAAGGAGTGCAACAGAAAATGAGAATACTGTTGTGATTCGGTTTCATTTTAAGAATGTGGATTTGAGTCTCCTTTAGATAAAGACAGCAGGGGATTACTCTGATGAAATTCAACACTGATCATGTTTAATATGTTCTATGCAACACAATTTAGAAATAATAATAATAATAATTGACTAAAGCAGTATTTTACAGCTGAGCTCAAACTTCAAAAAACAAGATCTGCCTTTAAATCCTGGTCCTGGCTTGCCTCCTTACACCACTGCTGATGTCAGCTCTGGTCTGAAATGCAACCTGAGGTCCCACACAGTGAACATACAGTGCACATAGAGTTGAGGTTGGCCATTACAGAACCTAACAGAGCCCAATCGTCTTTCTAGAAGTCAAAGAGACACTGTCCTCCTCTCTTCAGCTCAGTATGTAGAGCTCCTCCACACCACAAACATTTTAGAGCACAGTCAGGCTCAGCAACACTCCACAATACCAAGTCTTTCTCAAAAAAAGGAGGTCAATATGACCATAGTGCACTGTTGGTTTCTACTCCAAAACACACACAGGGATATAACATGTTCATGTGTCTCCTCAGAACAGAGCAGGAAAGAGAATGCACAAACACAAACAGGTAAGCATCCACAGGTTGCTGCATTGTTTCTACACTGATCGCCTTCATTACCCAGAAACATGGCTGCATGTCAACAGGTCCTGACTCACAGGCAGAAATCTGTGTCTCCATAGGAACGGACATCTCCAGCATGTTATCCCAAACATGCACAGAAGTTTACGAGCTTTTCCTCTAAATCTTTAAAAGTGCTTGTGTTGTGTTGAACAAAGCAAGAAGAGAAATCTTATTTCACTCCTTGTTTTCATCTTAAAAGCATATTAAACATTTTGCAATGCAACCTAAAAGCTTCAGCCTGATGATTGTCAAAAAAAGAAAGTTTCTGTCTCAGGATGGATGGAAATGAAAAAGAAACTCAGCTCATCTGAATAACGACTAAAAAGTGCAAACAAACATACATAGAAACATTCTAGTCAGTCTGGAAATGAATGGAGGTTTGTTTGCATATATTAAAAGCAGCACCTGCACTGATGAAGGTAGGGTGCTGGTCATTAGAGCTGGGATGTATACAGCCCTCCAGCAGGACTTAAAATAGACAGCCTGGAATAAAGGCTGACATGTACCCTGGGACAACAAGGTCCATCCTTGGGATGCAGTGGGCTTACAAGCTTCCCAGAACCTGCAGAGTTGAAGCATAGTTCTTTAGAAACCAATCTGACGGTTTTACCAATCCACAGTCTTCATGTAAAAATCCCCAAAGCTGTCAGTTATGACAGTTATGTAGTATTATACAGCAGAGTTCAATCAGGCACGGCCACATGACTGAGCAGCATCCACCTTCCATCTAGGTGGTCCTCTCCGGTGAAAAGCATACATAAATACATGGTCATATATATTTATGTATGCATGAGACCAGGGTGTGGCATTTCTAGAAAACTGGACATAGTTTCTGCTCTAATAGTGTCTTGATGGAATTATTTCCTCCAGAAGCATGCTGTCAGCTTCATCAGCTTTCTGCCAAAGTTCGCTTAGTTGCCCAGATACCAAGACTGGAAGAGAAACAAAGAAGAGTCAGGATATAAACAAGAAGGATCAGATTAAACCTGATCCAGGATTTCCTTCAGAAGCAGAACATTCCACTTAGATGAAGACTGGAGTAAATATTGTTTACTCTTACTTCTCTGCCTTTACTCAGCTGACTAAAAACATGATTACATTTCTAGTACAAGTTCCAACCTAGACAGTGGTATGCATGACTGTCACTACATGCTTGCTCAGAACTGAAATGTATTCTTTCAGAGTATTATTGTATTTTGACCTGCAATGGACTGACTACCTGACAGGTGAGAGGAGATCGCACCTCCCACCCATTGACCGCTGGAGATAGGCACCAGCCCCCCTCTTATCTCACTAATGAAAGCATGTAGAATAACCGATAGATAGGTATTATTGTATATACTACGAAATTGCAAACTAAAGTCAAAAATAACAAATTTAAATAAAGAAAAATTCATTTGTTCTTCCAAAATCCAAATAATTCAGCTGACAATGCATTTTACAGTTCTTAAACGAAATGCAGAATAAACCAAGAGGTTTTACTTGAGCCATTTCTGTTTCAGGTTTCTGCAGCCTGAAGCCTGGAAGGCAGCGCCATCCACCAGTCAAGGTTTCTATTCAGTTTGTCACAGCCAGGCTGTGACAAACCAACGTCTTCATCATTTGTAAGGTGAAGACCTGCATCTTTTTAATCATTTTCTGCTGATGTTGCTAGCATCAGGGTTACCACTGGAATCATATAATTTATTTCCTATTAATAATTTAGGCCATAACATGATTCTAGGATTGCAGAAACAGCTGTACTGACCTGGGCTTGGTACAGCCCCCCAGGATCTCGGGGGTTGACTCCAACGAAGGAAGACCGGCTGGCAGGTGGGGTCCCAGGAGCAGAGTATGCTGAAGAAATTATACACTCTCATGTCAGCGGTAGTACCAACAAAATGTTTCTCTATCATAAAAGAAAGGCAGGGAAAACATCTTGTTGGCATGTGTGAAGCAGCAGAAGTTCTGTGGTTGAGTTTATTTTTCCAGATTAAAAGTAAAATTGTTGAAGGAATAATTAAGGGGAAAGTATTTGGTATTTGGTTAGAATCACATACAGTAAAATAAAAGACAAAACATCAAGTTACTTTATACTCCTGTTATATGTTAATATTAATGGTGGTGGTGGGTATGTTTTCATACATCTTGGTGTCTGTCCGAGGTGTGTCCATTGTGGCGGAGCAGAGTTCATATTAACCTGTCTGGTTCTAAGTTAGGGTTTTCTTCCTGCTTCATACAACAGAAAACAAGTATAGTTCCTCAATCTCAGATAACAGCTCTTATGACCATGAGTCCGTTATTGCTGCTCCTAAACCTTGCAGTAAAACTAAGCATGTAAACAGATGCATTCTGTGTAGACATGTAGTATAGAAATAGTTGTTGTGAGTAAACTTACTTGGTGATGTAGGGGAATTTGCCCCCCCATCAGAGGAGGAGGTAGAAGCTTTGGACTCTGTGGGACCTGCTGGTCTGGGGAGGGAGGATGCTGGTCCAGGGGGTGCTAACATCTGAGAGGAGATATAATGGCTGGGCACTTTAACCTGAGTGCTGCCATTCAGCTGCAAAACAGATCAGTGGTATAATTATCTGTTGCTAAAGAGACAGAAAAATCCTGGTTTTAATTAGTAACAGGCGATATATAGAAATATAAGCAGCATTTTAACTCTACATGCAGTGACAGTGAATTCAAGATACCAATCTAACATTTTTCATATTTCAGATAACTTTTGGGGATTTTTTTGTATACTTTAAAATAATAATATAGGAAATCAACTTTGTCTACACAGATAATTTCATCTAATAATCCCTAATCAAGAGTGCTTTCAAAAACGTTTAAGGATTAAACCTTTACTAGTACAGTGACTTGTGGTCAGGGGAGGCAAGTGAGGCAGAATAATGGAAAAATATAATAAAATCATTTATATTGATATTTTCACCCTGTGGTTTGTACTGTTAAGTATTTATTTTTCATTTAGCTTAACCAATTTTGATTTTTTTTTTTTTTTCAAAATCACTGCTTTTTCCCATTCAAATGCTCATAACGCAGCTGATGAGGCAGCAGTGAACTGAGCCTCACCTGGGATTGATCAACCTCTCACTAACTGCACTGGCCGCCATTCTATGTGAGCATGCTCCTCCTGTCTGTACGTCGTCAATAAAATGGTTAAAAAACATTTAACATATGAACTGATTTTCCATAATTTAGCTTATGTATATAATGCACAGTGTTATTGTCACCAACTGGGTGCGTGGACCAAGAAAGGTCAACACATGTTTGGGCTCCAGAGGAACGTGAAACAATCCACCCTCTTAACTTTTATTCCATCCCTGAAGAAGGTGGAGAGTTTGGAGCGCTGCATCTTCTAAAAACCATGATGATCCATAATGTTCACATGTTGAACGTGTTCAGGTCACATGTTGAACCTCCTTTAGGTTTGGTTTTTTAAATCAATCTTACAACAATGATCAGCAGATGTGTTAAACCCTGCTCCCTATAAAAGTTTCAATAGAATGTGTTTGCTGTGTGACTGGAGACCTCTGCTTCATTCTCTGGGCTTTGTGAAGCTGGAGGACAGCAAAACAGCTGAAACACTGAGTTCCTTCAAATCAATGCTAAAAAGCCAACTGTTTATGGTGCATTCACACCATAATCGCATTAAGCGTGTCTAGTTTACATTCAAAGTCTATGTGGAGGTGTGTCAGAATCGCTGTAGACATTGTTTTCTGTTGCCGGCCTATTTGTTGGACGTGTCGAACGCTTCAAACCAGGGGTGTCAAACTCCAGTCTTCAAGGGCCACTGTTAGAATAATTATGTTTTGTTATCATTCTTACATTGGTAGTTATAATAGATTTAGTATTCACATCCCTGAGAAAAGCTTTCATACTTGTTAGACTTTGGAGCTGCAGCTGTGTTCAGACCTTGAAGCTGCAGCCACTTGTATCTTCGGGATACTCCTATCTGCCTCCCTCCACATTTCTTTTCTACTTTCTACTTTGTAATAAAAGACAAAGCCCTAACAAAGGGTCTTCAGAGCGCTCAGTGAACGGCTTGAAGCAGCAGTTTGCTGGGTTCTCTCCTTTTGCAAAAGCTTTTATAAAATTCACTTGTGTTGTCTGTTTGTTCTTTTATTTAGATTCACAAATACCTATCAGCCACTGTCCTGCAACTTTTAGATGTGTCTCTGCTTCACCACACGTGAACAGAATAATTAGGTGATTAGCAAGGCTCTGGAGAACTTATCTAAACAACAAGGAGGTAATTAAGCCATTTCATTCCAGTGTTTTAAACCGGTGGCACATCTAAAAACTGCAGCTCAGCATCCCTTGAGGACTGGAATTTGACACCAGTGCTCCAAACTCAATGTTCCTCCACATAGACTTTGAATGTAAATCAGACAAGCGCATTTGTTGTGGAAACACCATTAGAATTGCTTTTGAATCACAATCACTGGAATATTGACCAATATATTTGATGTGTAATGATAATTTTTATTGTAGCACTTGACAAAATGAAACGTGACTAGTTTCACAATTGGTGACTGTATGTTGTTATGTAAAACACTTTGAACTGCCTTTTTCCTGAAATATGCCATACAAATTAACTTTGAGGAGGACGTGCAGTGGGAACAACAGGTGGCATAAATCCCCTCTGCTCCAGTCATTTAAGTCCTCACCCATGTTTTCTCATCTTTTGCACTTCCTGTCTGAGCGCCTCTTGTTTCCTCTTTCTCCTCCAGCCACAGACGCAACTGACAATACCTCCACTGCCATTCTGAAGGGCAGACTGAATCAAGTCATGCCTCAGAGCGTCAGGAAAATGCTTTCTCGTCTTCCCTTTTCACCTCAGAGCCCTAAAGTCCTGCAGCTCTTTAAAGGCTTCTACTGCTTTTTTCTTTCCTCCATAACAAGAAAATGAAACCATAACAAGGTTTTATTTTGTTCTGTGCACTGCTTTTCGTGACAGTTCACCCAATTGTTGAATAATTTGAAATTACTTTTTATGAAGTGCCTCAAAATGATATATTTGGATTGTAGATGAACAGAGGAACTTACGGAGCTGGGGGACTGATTTGCAGGGTCACAGGCCAATGAGACTAGATCCTTCAATGGGTCCTGGGCCAAATGGGGAGGGTATCGGATTGCTCCATGGGCAAAATAGGAAGAAGACGGAAAGTGAAGCGATGAGGAGGGATGAGGACATCGAGAGAGACCTGACAAGAATATGAAATATTTGTGAAATTTCTAGAGGAAAACATCTTATAAATGTATTACAGTATGGCTGGGGCCTCATGCATAAAAGAGTGCTCAGTTTTCACACTAAAACTTGGCATACAAAAAAATTTAGAAAAGTGCGGCACACAAAACAAAAATCGGATGCGCTGCATACCTTTCCTTTATAAATCCTAATTTGCAGAAAATAGAGCGCAGCTGCTGGTCCGTCCTGTCGCCACCCAGAACTGGGAGGTTATCTCCACAATACATATGTAAATAAGTATAAATACCCAGAAGTGTGCCATCACGTGACGCAATAACCATGACAATGTCCTTGTTCAAAGCAGTACATTTATAATAATAATAATTATAGATTTTATTTAAAAGATGCTTTGAGGACCCAAAATGTCACTTCACAAAAATAAAAATAAATTTTAAAGAAAAAAAATCCAGATCAAAAAAATAAAGGGATCTTGCAAATACCAGTTTGAACAGCAGCGTGTCAGAGTCCTTTGAGTGGGAAATGTGGACATTTATTCAAAATAGTGGAATCATGTTCAGAAGATTAACATTTACAGAACAGAGATGCTTTTTGCCCATAAAGGCTCATTCACAAAGCGGGTGGCTCGACTGAAGGATGACTGCAGTTGGCTCCTTCTTTAAATTCTGCTCAAAGCTCCAGGATTATCAATCTGGATTAATCTAAGCACTAATAAACAATCATCAACATTTCCAAGCAGATCAATATGATCTCTGATCAATCACTCCCTCAGAACCCTTCCATTGGCGATGTTCTCCATCAGAGCCAAAGCGCTCCACAATTACACGGCTCACCTTTGCGCAGCTGCTTATATACATGTGATTGCATACATACCTTGATCACCTTAAAGATAATCAAAGCTGTTGATTATTTTCAATCAGCACGTTTGAGTAAATCTGCTGATCCAATCCTGTTTTCTTCTTTCAGTGAGAATGAAATGACCCCATAGATGCTTTTTGTGCACTTCGGCACATTGCGTTACATCTTTATGAGGCAAAAACGGAGAAAAAGCACTATTTAAATTCAAGCGAGGTTTTCACATGCTTTTATTTTTATTTTCTTTATTTTATGTGTGTTAGCCTATTGTCTGAGGATGAATGCGGTTCAGTTTCATCATTTACGTTGAAACAGTAAAATATTAAAGTCATAAAAAACATCAGGTAAATAACCAAATGTAGTCAGATTTCAGGGTTTTTAGATGAGTTTTGACGCTTTGTAGTTTGGTATTGTCCACAGAAAAAGTTTGCGTGGCTGCCACATATTTCTATGGTAGCGAAAAAGTGTGGGTATGTTTATGCAGACTTTGATGTAGTTCATTTTTACACATGTCAATTTGTGCATAAAATATGCCGCCGCACATTTTTTGTGCGCACTTATGCATGAGGCCCCAGGTGTATTTGTAAAGCAGAGCGAGAGAATGTTAGGGACTCTGAGGGCTACGCACCACTGTGCACTGCTATGACTGGCCGGTGGTGCTGAGTGAAGGATCCCATCCTTGGTGAGCCCTCCTGTGGAGAAGGGCTGTCCAGCTCTGCCTTCTTCACTGGGGGAGACAAACCTGTACCACAAAAACATAAATATATGCTTCATTAATAAAACCAGTCACATTTTTGTACCACAAAAACATAAATATATGCTTCATTAATAAAACCAGTCACATTTCTTTTTATTGCTCAAACGTAACAATAACATGTGGCTTTTGCTACAACATCTATTGTTAGAAGACAGAAGTTGGGGTCCCTGGACAGAAAATCTAGTTCTGTTAATGTGGGAAACAGAACTAAATTACTCACATAAATGAAAAGATGAATGTACTGTGACAAAGAATTAGTTTACATAGAAAATTGACACAACAACAATAAAACAAAGATAATTAGTTTATTTTGACTCTATGCTCCTCATTCATCAGCTCAGTCTGGCAGTAAGGTGGTTGCCTGGGGGATTCTTAGCTTGGTTTCCTACAGTGCTGAGGTGTGATCGTAGGGTGAGTAAGGCTGTGGGTGCTGGTCTTATGTGACATATTATCCTTCTCTGCACATGCCCAGTGCTGCCCCACAGGGGCCACCTGTCTCCTCAGGTATCTGTTCTCCCTGTGTGGTGAGGAAGAAGACATCAGGTGCACAGGTGACCACCCTGTTAAAACATTTTGCCCATCTGGTGGAACAGACTGCTCAACAGAACTGGGAGGTTATCTCCTGGTCACCTTTGTGGGATTCAGTCGCTGGCAGTTCCAGGAAGGGAACTGCCAGCCTCGACTGACTCATAGCATGCGAATATATTTTGGCCATGTTAACATGGTCTTATTAGCTTGAGATGAAATGGGTTTAATAGTTTTCCTATTGTATATTTTTCTGAAATTTAAGCTGTGAATCATATTTAAATGCATCAACAGTTCGGACTCTCGATGCTGTTCATGTTTTTTCACTTAGTAAGTTCTTCTGCTGACAGAAAATAAAACAATTTAAGCCTCTGTCTCTCAGGCTAACTGGTACAATAAGATGTTGCTTATTCTGTTACCTCCTTCCAAGTCATCAGTCCAGTTCCTGGAACTGCTTGCAGGAGATGCAGGTGAATGGTAATACTCCCCTCCAGGACTGTCAGCATCCTCTTCAATGGAGCTAGACTTAAGGCGTTTACTCCTATAGACAGATTAGTATATAATTATTCTGGACTTAAATTACTGTTCAGAATTTTTGACAGAAATAATGCCTAAATATGCATAAGTGTTGTCCTGCTAAATAAAATTACTCTTTTATTATCAAACCTGTACTATTTGTCTGTAGACATGTTGGTTTACACTAAACTCTGTCAAAAGAATACACAAATGCATTTAATGTATTCTTAAATGAAGACAAATGCTAACCATTTGTCTTCATAAAAAAATTCTTTAAAGAAGAAATGATGAAATGACTGACATAAGCATCCAAGCAGCTTACCTGTCTAGCATAAAAGCTTTAAAATTATTCAAAGCTAATGTAAGCCTATTTAAAACTAACACAAGCCATCTAAGGCTTATCTTTGATAATGGACAGTAGAGGAAAAAGGCAATTCAGTTGTTGGCCAGCGTAGGTATGTTAGTCACATTCTGCCTTTCCTTGTTTTCAAGTAATATTTGCCATTCTGCATATTTTCACTTATGCAACATAAGTCCTCCCTCAGATCACTGATGAGAAATTATACTCAATATGCCGGGGAGGTACAAAAAGTCAACATAGAAACACAGAAGAAGCTATCTGTCCCTTAGGTTAGAGTGGTCTCTCCTGTTTTCAACATGTTCATTCTGCTTTACTTCAACTCCCATCTTCTGTTTTTTCTTCGACTTCAAGCACAACCTAATAAACTTGATAGATAAGTCCCTTAATTCTGAGTTTTTCTTTTATAACTCTAAAATATAATCAGCATCAATTGATATAATCAACTGACTATATTATATAATTATAATATAATCAGTCAACTCAGATGCATGTTTTGTGTCTGCATACCCGCTGGAGGACGTGCTAGCCAGCGACCGTCGCAGGCTGACCGGTTGATTGATGGACTGGTTAAGGTCATAAGCCAGATGACCTTGAAGCTCCCCAATAGAGAAACCAGGTCCCATTCCTGTAACTACTGGAGCTACACATAGAAGCAAAAAATTCTGTTCAGATTTAGAGTACATACAAACTGAAACTTCTATACCCAAACTGTTGATATTTTGAATAATTCTGAAGTTCAGATTAGGTTATGAATTAATTAGTGTTGTTCATGACTCAAATTTTTGGGAGTTAAAGGAAGAGCTCAAAAGAAAAAAGGTTTTAAATAACTAAATGGGATGTAATGGAAGGTTAAAGCACAGGGGGTGCTAGGGAGAAACTTAAGTGAATGATGTAATGAGAGAATGAAAAAATAAGAGCTAAAGTTTACCAAAAAAATAGCCACCTTCAATAAACACCATCAGTTTATTTTATGATGATGGTTCCACAGCATTTGTTGGTTGACACTTGTAGCATGTGTTGAAATAGAATTTTAAATTAGCACAATCGTACACAGGCTAACCTTTACGTTAAGACAAACTTAGATAAAGATCCAAACTAAAACAACTGGTGATTCTCTGAAACTTACATACATTTCTAATCAGAAGGTAGTCTTGTACTCCCTAAGGGGTGTTTTCAGACAGGGCGCATATTGGCTATCAGGGCAATAAATTCTTTACTCAGGGTTGAAGAGTTCAGGCAAACATTAAAAACTATAGAAGTCCGTTACAAAATATAATCAAACGTATTAAGATATTTCCTTAAGCATTAAACAGCATGTTTTGAATTAGTGAGTTTTAGATCCAAACTTATAGTTGGTATTTAGCATTAGATTTTGTGCGAGTTTGTTTAAAAATACAAACTGGTTTCTTGCTGAATCATTTTGAGCCAGAGATAACACTGCAGCTGCACGTCATAAATCACGGTATGGCCAGGAGGCTGGTACGAGAAGAGCTTGGTGTTTCAGTAGGTCTCAGAGGTAATAAAATTAACATTAAGACAGCCCCCACAAAGGAAAAAACACGCCTTCTAAATGCATAGGGAAATACACAGTCTTATAAAAGTTTTCGTTTGCAACAGAGAATTCGAATCTCTTTGTGCTGAGTGAGTGACTCCCAAAGATACATCTTTGTTTTTCTTTTCAAACTCATTGCAGGTATTTTTCTATTTGTCATTTTTGTGGACTTTTGATTTCTGGGTGAGATGAGCTAAATCAAGTTATTCCTCTGTTACTCCGGATTCTTGAGTCCCAGCGTGCGCAGGGAAAAAGAGCAATCATACGACATCAGACTTCAGATATCTAGAGTTTTTATCCAGAGAAATCAATGCATATAAAATGTTACAATAAGCATCTCACCCAGAAATCAAAAGTCCATAAAAAATTTCTGGCTTAATATATTAATCTTTTTTTTCCCCCTCTAGATTGTTGACCCATGCTGAGATGTTGGACTTTTACAGCCATAGTTTTAGTTTACATGTTTTATTTTGTATTATTTCTATTTTTTGTTGTTAAGACTCTTATTTTGGAAGATTAAGGTAGGAAGTGGAATCCAGCATGTTGCTAGGTTTCCGCTTTGGCAAGTAAATGCAGAAAGATGATTTAAGTTTAAGAATTTATTTAATGACCTCATTTCTACTTCAAAAGCAAGGGTCAGCCAGCAAGGTATGTTTATATGTTTTATGTTATTTTTTATGTCTATTGTATTCTTGACACCATCTCACTAAGTTTACGTTGTGTTTTAGTTCGTGGTGTCAGGGAAACTGAAGCTGTAATAAGAACAACTTTAAAGAGTTTTATTAAAGAGTTTTATTAGAGTTTTATTAAATTGTTTTAGTTTGGATCTTTATCTAAGTTTGTCTTACATCATCTGCACTTTACCATAATTGGACCTGCTGCTTCTTCTTTGGTGTGGTTGAGTGCCTTTAGTTAATTTTAGTTGTATATATTATTATTATTATTGTGTGTTTGTTTATTTAATATTGTAGATATTTGACTTTTTGCACGGGAGTTGCAATAGAAATTTCGTTGAATCCTGTTCAATGACAATAAATGCTATTCTATTCTATTCTATTCTATTCTAAAGCTGACTTCACACCAGCAGTGCAACGAACTCTTAATTGCCATTAAGAAGAAGAGGTGGAAGTGATATTGGACAGTTCACTTTCACTGCCCCGTTCAGATAAAGAAGACTTACTTCTTGAGACCTGGACCAACTCAGGAACACTGAAAACTCCTGAAGTCACAAAACTTTCCTGGAACTCTGCTCCATCTGCAGAAACAAACAGTCAGTTAAAGACTGTTGTGAGTCTGGGGAAATGGCAAATGTACATACGTGCACATACTAGGCTTTGACCCTGCTATTTTGTCCTTACTACTCTCTACTTGTTGGACATGGGATTGAAGAAAATATATGCGCTTACAAGGTTAAAAAATATTAGTTTGGGCTTTATAACTTACCTGAATTTTGACTAGCGGTTAAAGGAACAGAAAGAAGAATGAACGGAATTATTTATTTGAATTAAACAATGCTTTTCTCCAGGAAAAGATAATATTTCTTATATTATGGTTAATAAGCTTAGTAAATCATCTAAAAAGGTTTTATTGGAATTCTATAATAAGATATGGAAAATGGGTTTTTCACCTATGGAATGGAAAGAAGCAATCATAGTTCCAATTTTAAAGCCATGAAAAGAGCGGTCAAATCCAGAAAGTTATACATATTGCTTAAACTTCAGATATATGTAAAATAATGGAGAGAATGATAAATGAAAGATTGAGCTACTTTGTTGAGAAGAGAGGATATTTATCAAAATTTCAAAGAGAGTTTAGAAAAGGTAGAAGCACTATGATTCCTATTCTATGTCTAGAACATGAAATCAGAAAAGGGCAAGTTAATAAGGAGTGTGTGCTGGCTGTTTTCTTTGATATAGAAAAATTATGTAGAAAGAAGGTTTTTTAATTAAATTGAAAAGAATGGGAATTAGTGGATCAATGTTTCATTGGATAAAAGATTTTTTTACACGATAGATCAATACAAGTAAGACGAGGACAACATATTCTCAAGGGACAACATATCCCTCAGGGAAGTATAGTGAGTTCTTTGTTTTTTTCTGTTATGATTAATGACATGTTTGACGATTTACAATAAATTGTAATCTATCAAAATGAAAGAGGAGCTTCAGTTTTTTCCGTTGATTTAAAAAAAATCCTGGTCAAATACAAAAAACATTCTGTTAATCTACAGTGTGTTTTCACACATAAGTATTCCTGTACCAAACAATCAATATGGAGGAAATTTTTCTTAAGGAGATTCGTTACCTATAGTTCCTGTCCGACTGTCCTCCTGATCAGAGCCAACTCCAGTACGACTGGGACTGTTACTCTGCTCTGCCTCTGAAAACAAGGGAAGGCAGAAAGTAAAAGTGTGTGTATGTGCATGTGTGTGTGTGTGTGTGTGTGTGTGTGTGTGTGTGTGTGTGTGTGTGTGTGTGTGTGTGTGTGTGTGTGTGTATGCATGGGGGGGTGTGTGTGAGGGTGACTGTACTGTGTGTGCATAGATACCCTTCTCCTGGACGTAGAAGGCGAGGTAGAGGTCTAGCTCTTTCACAGAAACAGAGATGTGTCGTGGCTGGACGCAGAGAAGAGGATTGGAGCAATGGCCTCCCTTAACCAGACGCTCTCCATCTGTGCTTTCTAGAGGAATTCCCTTAAAGAGGATAACCATCACCAAGTCTAACCTCCACACCTGGAATACAAAGATTATAATCATAAACAAAAAATGAAATTATTATCACTACAGTCAACCATAACTTTGTATTAGTATTCATCATGAGATAGTTGGATGGTATCAGAACCTCCCTAAATGTGAGATGCGATGATAAGTAAAACTGCAGGTCACTACCCCTAATGATGCCCCCTCATGGGACCCGGGACCCTGCCACCTCCCCTGAAAAGAAATGTACTATTGCACCCAATTTGAACAAGTATCCTTTATTGATGTTAACAAATATCAAAACTGTGTCTTACACCATGTCCTTCTAGATAAAGGCCAGTGTTGTATTCGAAGAGGATTTAATGCAACAAAAAAAAAAGTGAAACGACACAAAATACAGAAGAGTATATACAAATCATGTTATGACATACAAATCAAGATAGAAGTCATACTATGGCCAAAAAACATTACTTTATAAAGATATGAAGGATTGTAAAGGCATGTACATTTGGAATTCTCTGTAGATAAAATTAGACAAGGTATGTCAAATGTTAGACAAGTTCCTGGCAAAGTTAAATGTGGATTTGGCATCATCGTGTGGCCAAACAGAATTACTATACTATGATGGGAAGTTGTTTCAGGCCTGTTTAAAAAAAGTCAGGTCATGTGAAGGAATTTTACAAAAATACATCAACATATGAAGAAAACACTCCAAACAAATGTACTGAAAATAACCATACTAATAGTCCTTATAACATCATAAATGTAACCAAAACTGCATGTATAAAAATTATCTATGGCCAAATAAACCGCTTAAATAGATATGATGGCTTAAATAGTTCATTTCAACTTGGATTTCTACATGGATAGTCAGACCTTAACTATACTGGCTAAAAACATGTCAAAAGTTGTTAAACTTATGACATTATTTTCATTTCTAATGTCTCAATGTTATTCAACTCAAATATTTAGTCATATTGTAAATCATAGAGATAGAAAGGAGTGGATGAGTTTTGATTAAATAACTCATCCAAGAAAGCATCAGGCATTCTTTCCTTGACAAAGATAACTTCCTGTTGGATTTCTTCCTCTTTGTACTTTCAAATAAGAAATTGCAAAGCTGTGCTCCCAACTATTAGGGGCCGTTTCGGACAAAAACTGTTTTTGTCACATACTACTACAGACTCATAAACACTGAAAAAATACTAACATTGTGCATATATTGCTATTAAAGTATCACACATGCATACACAAAAGACTAAAATTGTGCATATACACTACTAAAATATCACACAATTTTCTCTCAATACACATAATACTAACATTATGCATAGACACTGCTAAAATGTCACAAACGCAAACAATTTTCTCTCGCATACACAAGACTAAAATTGCACACATACACTACTAAAATATCACACAAACACACAAAGCATACGGACATACTATTCTGAATGATAGGTCGAAATATATTCTGTATGTGTGAATTGACACTCGGCTGAATGAATGAATGAATGAAATGAGACTTGTATTTGTAGACTAATTTTCTGTATGTGTCAGAGGGATTCTTCTGATGCAGATTATATCGATGGGTTGGTCCAAATGGTTTTCCACTTGGATCCGCCTTCTTTGAGGATGTCTCCAACCGGCACTCACTGAGAGTGTCTGTAATCAGAACTGTGACGATAATAATAATAATAAGAAGAAGAAGAAGAAGAAGAATGGAGGAACTTGGTTTCAGTCTAAGAAAGGAATTCTTAGACATACACATAAGAGTTGTATGTGTGGCAACTCTTCACACATACTAGTTCCTCTCACACAAAGATAAGTCTCATCCCCATTCATTCATTGAGTTCATACACATACATATATTTTATATGTGCAATCTTAGTCTTTTATGTGTGTGTGAGAGAGAAAATTGTATTTGTGTGATATTTTAGTTGAGTATATGCACAACTTTAGTATTTTGTGTGTGTGACAGAGAAACATTGAATGTGTGTGTGACATTTTAGTACTGTATATGCATAAACAAAATTTTTATATTTTGTTTATGCATGTGAGAGAAAAATTGGATGCATGTGTGATATTTTAATCATGGGAATGCACAATTTTAGCATTTTGAGAGTATGTCTGAGTACTCACAAAATACTAGTAGTGTGTGAGAGACAAAACATACTTTTTGTCCTAAACAGCCCCTGGCCTGGGAACACAGGCCTGGATTATTTTAGTTTATATCTTTAAAAAAAACTCCAATGCGAAGTTGGAGAGGCGAGACAAAATCAAGTACTTGAACCTGAAGTATTAACTTGATGTAAACACACACTGAGCTCAAATAGAGCACAGTTTCTGTCACTTTCAACACAAATTGTTGGCCCAGATAATGTGTATTTGGCTCCATCATGTTGTCAAATAGAATTACTACCCTATGGTGGGAAAATGTTTCTCACCTTTTCAAAAATTGAATTTTAAAGAATTTACTAAAGAAAAACAACAAATAAAGAAGCTTTGCAAACAAATGTATGGAAAAGAACCATAATAATGCATCATTATAATGTTATATGCAGGCAGCTGTGCATGTATTTAAATTACAATATGTGTGAAGAAACAGAACCAATTAATAGGCCAAGTAAGCTTCCATGGTTCATTGATAGTTGGAATAGTTAGTAGATAAGGCCAAATAATGCTTAACTACACTCACTGGCCACTTTATTAGGTACACCTTAGAACTGGGTTGGGCCCCTTATTCCTCTCAGAACTGTCTTAATCCTTTGCGGCACAGATTCTACAAGGTACTGGAAACATTCCTCACAGAGTCTGGTCCATATTGACATGATAGCATCCTGTAGTTGCTGCAGATTTTGTCAGCTTCACATCCAGAATGTGAATCTCACATTCCATCACATCCCAAAGGTTCTCTATTGGATTGAGATCAGGTGACTGTTGAGGCCATTTGAGTTCAGTGAACTCATTGTCGTGTTCAAGAAACCAGTCTGAGACGATTCATGGTTTATGACATGGTGCGTTATCCTGCTGGAAGCAGCCATCAGAAGTTGGGTACACTGTGGTCATAAAGGGATGGAGATAGCAACAATACTCAAGTAGGTTGTGGCATTGACACGATGCTCAATTGGTACTAATAGGCCCAAAATGTGCCAGGAAAATATCCCCACACCATTGCACCACCACCATCAGCGTGAACCGTTGATATAAGCAAGGATGGATCCATGCTTTCATCTCATTGACTCCAAATTCTGACTTTACCATCCAAATGTCGCAGCAGAAATCGAAACTCATCAAACCAGACAACATATTCTATTGTACAATTTTGGTGAACCTCTGTGAATTGTAGCCTCGGTTTCCCGTTCTTAGCTGGCAGGAGTGGCACCTGGTATGGTTTTCTGCTGCTGTAGCCCATCCGCCTCAAGGTTTGGCATGATGTGCGTTCAGAGATGTTCTTCTGCATACCTCATTTGTGGTTATTTGAGTTACTTTTGGCTTTCTATCAGCTCAAATTAGTCTGGCCATTCTCCTCTGACCTCTGGCATCAACAAGGCATTTGGCCCACAGAACTGCTGCTTACTGGATATTTTCTCCTTTTTCGGCCTATTCTCTATAAACCCTAGAAATGGTTGTGATCAGCAGTTTCTGAAATACTCAGACCAGCCCGTCTGGCACCAACAATCATCCCACGTTCAAAGTCACTTTAATCACTTTTTGATGCTCGGTTTGAACTGCAGCAGATCGTTTTGGCTATGTCTACATGCCTAAATGCATGGAGTTACTGCCATTTGATTGGCTGATTTGACATATACAGATAGACAATTATATAGGTATAGAAAATTAATTTTAGTGTAGTAATTTATTTGCATCTCCTGGTGGACTATGCCACCTGCTGGTTTAAAGAAATAACTGCAATTGTCAATGAACACACATTGATGCTTTCAATGTGTGTTCATTTGATCCGTTGTGAGTTGGCATTAACAAGTTTGGTTAATCTATTATGTTCAGTCATTCCTAACAAGAATATACACTGTGAAATTAAGAACTTATAATAACTAATAATAACTAATAACAAATAACTAATAACTAGCAGAAAATATCTACTAATCTACACATCTATTTACCTTGTCAGCTTGTCTGAGACAGTCTATTCGTCTCATTTTGCCTTTCTGGTCAGGATTTGACAAGACACAACACGCAGCTTTCTTCCCAGTGATTGACAAAACAAAGTCCTCTCTGCATTCAGGTCTGATGTCTTTTCTTAGTTTCGCCAAAAGTCGGCTAGCCCACTTTTGTTTCACCTAGTAGCAGAATAATACAGAAACAGACATCTCAGTTCATAAAATCAGTACTTTAGTTGACAACTAGCTGCAGCATTGTTTTAAAAATCTACCTCTGCCTTTTCTCCCAGTAATTCATCTTTAACAGCTCTCTCTTCTTCTTTAGTCATCCTCTTCTCATGTTTTTTGAAGTACTTCCTCTTTCTGGCCTGGAGGTTAAACCATGTATAAGCGAAGGCACGAACTTGGGGCAGCAGAGCCTCAATGAATGGATGGAATTCATCCTACAGGACAGACAAACACACACACACACACACACACACACACACACACACACACACACACACACACGCACACACACACACACACACACACACACACACACACACACACACACATAAAAGGTTAATGCATGGAATTAACAAACATTTTATTGAGTTTCACACAAACTGTGTGGTTTCAAATATGTTTAAGCATACATAAACTAGAGTTGCTAATTGAGTTCAAGAACTACTTAGAATAAGTTTTGGCTTGTCCTGTGAACCTAGAGGAGTGGATCCTATGGAAGGCAAATTCTACAAAAATCAAGAATAGGCAGAGAATGAAATAAATTGCCCCATAAAATTATTCAATGTTTCAACAAATGAACCAAAATGGTTATTTCATGATTTCTATTTTTAATCTATTGTTTCATTTATTGGGGCCTGCCCATAGCAATGCATAAGGAGAGCCTGCATTGGTGCCTGCCATGCATTGGCAGGTGCCTGCCATGCAATTAATCTTCACCTAATAGAACGCCTCTTTATTAACTTATTCTTCCGTGGACCTTAATGCGGCTCGCACCACTGCGAGCCCACCCACAAAAGTGGTATCAAAACGTGCGGCTCGACTCCGGCATTGGAGCTATTGCTTTTATGGGGAATCAGCAAGATGATGGCAATGTAAAAAGCGAAAAACGAGCGAAATTTCCAACTGCCGAAACGCAGAGCATAACTGCCACCAACTGCCGCGCCGCTAGAGTGAAGAATGAAGGGGATTTTTGACCCCAAACCAATCTTGAAATTGCCGTCACAAATATCGCGCTATCGGTATCAAACAGACATCGATACGCATGCCTGCTCCGGTAAAATGTTTTTAAAATTTTCCTAGGGTTTTCTGTCAAGGTGCTTCGGAGCGAAACAATCCGCCAGGCTAACTGACGCTCTCCACCATTCATTTTCATACTTTTATGGAAAAATAGACCTCAGCGCACACCATTTTTCTCTCATCGCTGCAATTACTGTGAATGAGCTACAGATATGAATTGCAGGACTATCAGAGAGGACAAATAGCCCTCTCATACGCTTTCAACGGTTTTCCGATACGTATCACGGTTCCCGAATGGGAAGGAGTTGTTCGGACTGCTTTTTTAAGTCAACCTGACTGGGTGTCTCACAAAGATAGAATTCTTTCTCCACCTTTCTGCCTCACACACATGACAGCTGGCAGAGGATCCATTACCATAGCAACGGAACACAGCAGGGCCAGCTGATTAGAACTACAAAAACGCATCACTGTAGTTTTTACTATGGCAGAACTCTGAGGAAAGAGTTGGCCTTTAGAACTACTTGTGTTTTGGGCATTTTATAACTGATTTTAACCAACCATTGTTACACATTGGAACAGTGTTAATTAATTTTAATTAAACGTCATGAAATTAAGTTTAATTAAAATTTCAAAATAAAAGCCCTGTGATTCTTTTATATCACGTAATTGCTCTCTTGGGCATTATGTGACTTTTTTAACAAAACCACTGTTACACTTTGGATTATTTTGGACATTTAAAATGAAGCTTACTGAAAATTCCAAAATAAAAGCCTTAAGATTTGTCTCTGGCTAGAACAGCACCACTGTGCTTGCATTATTTATTTATTTCAGATTAACTTTAGCACAAACATTAGCATTTCACTGCCTATAACATTATCCTGCATTATCTTTTTCTCTCGGGTTAGGGCATTAGCACGAGCTAATGGCTGCCTCAAACTGATAGAATTCTGTCTCCCCCTCTCTGACTCACAGCTGGCACCTCTACCATAGTAACACAACAGGGCCGAGCAGATGATTAGGACTACAAAAAACGCATCACTGTAGTTTTTGCTATGGCAGAACTCAGGAATGAGCTGGCCTTTAGAACTACTTGTGTTTGGGCATTTTATAACTGATTTTGACCAATCATTGTTACACATGGAATTAGTATGGCAATTTTAAATTAAGCTTAAAACAATTTCAAAATAAAAGTCTTGACAATTTTTCCACCAAGTAATTGCTCTTTTGACCATTATATAACTGATTAAAGCCAATGACTGATATTCATGTGATTAGATTGGACATTTAAAACGAGACTTACTGAAAATTTCAAAATAAAAGCCTTGACAATTTTTCCATCAAGTAATTGCTCTTTTGACCATTATATATCTGATTTAACCCAATCACTGTTACACATGGGATTAGATTGGCCATTCAAAATCAAGCATACTGAAAATTTCAAAATAAAACCCTTAAGATTCGTCTGTGGCTAATGCAGCGCCATAGGCGCTTGAATTATTACCACCTTGCATTATGTTTTTCTCTGTATTGCTGCGCACTGTCTTGCGCAGCAATACAGTGCATTAACATTAGCACAAACATTAGCATTTCACTTTTCCCCACTAGTGCACTGCAGTGGGCAGTGCAATAAGATTATCCAGCATGATCTTTTTCTCTCAGGTTAGGGCTCTGCCTTGTACAGCAAGGCAGAGCATTAGCATTAGCCTTTTATCTTAAATGAGGTATTAGCTATTTCTCTGGCTTATTACCCATGTTTGGTATAGTGAATGGAGTAAGTCAATTACAGAGAACATGCTAGTGGTGTTCCACAAGCTCCAGAAAGTATTCATGCTAACATTAGCATTTGACTAATTTTCGCTTATACACTTATTTTAACATACCGAATGGTGCAAGTTCATGTTAGTGAACATTCTGGTGATTCTCCACGATACTTTGTTTGCCAAGCTTAGCACTGATACTAATGTTTAGCATGAGAACGCTGGGTCGAAACCGATGGGCACACTTTGGCAGAAATTTTCTAGTTTCATATTAAACTTTTGTTCATATATCTACTTTCTTATTTCTTTCTTTATTTCATTTTTAGATATTTCTAAACCACTTATATATTGTTAATAAATCTATTTTCAACCAATTATTGTTTTAAACCATCTTAATTCACAAACTGATCAGATATAATTTCTAAGCATTTTTTGTACTGGAGACACTACTGCTGGAGACATCACATTCTTAGTGTTAGAGTCATCACTGTCAAACTCCCCCTTTGCAATAAAGCTTGGAGTCCACCTCCAACTCAAACACAAGAGTTGTGAACCTTTTTCTTCTAAACTGCTTGCCAGGAAGAAGATTTATTTAAAAACCTTCGAAGTGTTCACTATAGGACTTCTAGAAAGCATTCTGCGTACCCTGTGTTTGTGCATTCCCGTAGAGACAAGATAAGGCTCTTGATGCGTCTGCCTGCTTTGGCAGCCTCTCCATTCCTCAACCAGAGGAATTCTTTCCTCTGTGTTTCCAACCAAAAGCACCACAGGTTCTGTTGAGAACCTAAAGCTGGGATGCCAACCAAACCTCGACACCTTCCTCAAGAGGACGTTTTTTTTTGTTCCATCAATTTTTGAATTTTTGAACATTGCTTTGATAAATGATCAACTCAAAGTGAGACTGTTCCATTATCTGAGCTGAATTAAGTGTTTAAAATAAGGTTCTTGTCAACTGCCTTTCTGTTGCAATTTGTGCTGATTACATGGTTGGGGCAGAATGGGGATGAGCGTATATTTGTGTGTAAGTGAGTTTTTTGCCGTTATTTTATTATTAATACTGAAGGACTCAATACAACAGATTTATTATCAGAACTTTTGTCCTCAATATTATTAGATTTTTTAGTTTTTCTTTTAATATATAAATGATTATTTTACTAATATCAGTATTATTGTCAGTATTACCTTATTTTACTGCTATCATCACCACTAAGATTTTATTTTTGTATTTCTATTTATTTTTTGTGCATGTAAATACATAACTGCTTGGTTCATATTTTTAACTACAACATTATCATCATTGACTTTATTCTTTTTTTTTCTTGTTTTCTTTGGTAATACTATTACTTTGTTATATAACCCTCACATACAGTGTATCACAAAATTTCTGCCGATATTTAAGCATTTCTTTTCATGGGACAAAATGACTCTTTGACACAATAAAAAGTAATATGTGTGCAGCTTACAAAATGGGACAAAATGATACTTTTGACACAATGAAAAGTAATCTGTGTGCAGCTTATATAGCAGTGTATATTTATTCTTCTCTCAAAATAACTCTATCTACAGCCATTAATGTCTAAACCGCTGGCAATAAAAGTGAGTACACCCCTTAGTGAAAGTGTCAATATTTTGCATGGCCACCGTTATTTACCAAAACTATATTAACTCTTCTGGGCATGGAGTTCACCAGAGCTTCACAGATTGCCACTGGAATGCTTTTTCATTCTTCCATGACGACATCAGAGAGCTGGCAACTATTCAAAACTTTGTGCTCCTCCACCTTCCGCTTGAGAATGCCCCAATGATGTTCTATTGGGTTCAGGTCTGGAAATATGTGTGGTCAGTCCATCATCATGCTCTTCAATAAAGCAGTGTTCGCCCTAGAGATGTGTTTGGGATCATTGTCATGCTGGAACACTGCCCTGTGATCCAGTTTCCAGAGGAAGGGGATCAAGCTCTACTTGAGAATTTCACAGTATATATTGAAGGTCATGAAATGTAACTTCCCAACACCTGCTGCACTCTTCCAGTCCCAGACCATGGCATTCCCATCAACATGCTTGACTGTAGACATCATATACTTATCTTTGTACTCCTCACCTGACAGCTGCCACACATGCTGGAGACCATCTGAACCAAACAAATTAATCTTGTTCTCATCACACCATAGGACCTGGATCCAGTAATCCAGGTCCTTTGTTGACATGTCTTCAGCAAACTGCCAATTTTCGTGATTTCTGAAGAGGCTTCTTTCTGGAGTGATAGCCATGCAGACCAAGTTGATGTAGAGTGCAGCGTGTGGTCTGAGCACCGACAGGATGACCCTCCACCTCTTTAATCTCTGCAGTAATGCTGACAGAACTCCTGTGCCAGTTTTTCAAAGACAGCATTTGAATGTGACCCTGAGCATGTGCACTGACAGTCTTTAAATGACCAACGTG